GGTGGGTTCAAGAACACTAGGAGTCGCTAAAAACGCTAAAGTGGCAGAGGTGGCAGACGAGAGTGGTTGGAAGATTCGGCGTAGGCGTGGTTCACAACTCCAAGAGTTGTTGAGGCAAATTAGCGATATATCTCCGCCAAGGGCAGACCAAGGAGAAGACATCACGCTTTGGAAACAGAGTACGGACAAGTATGAGCCTTTATTCTCATCTAAGAAAACTTGGGAGCAATTAAGAGTGACGGGTGCAGAGGTTCCATGGCACCGGCTGGTTTGGGTCCTGGAATCAGTCCCACGGCAAGCTTTCATAACTTGGCTTGCTTTCCGGAATCGACTTGGAACAGGTGATCGCACTAGAGTATGGGGAGATTTCCGAGCTTGTGTTCTATGTGGTGAGATAAATGAGACGCGTGACCACCTTTTCTTCGCATGTCCCTTCTCCTTCACTGTTTGGACATCACTCATGGCAAATCTCCTTGGTAATAGGCTTAGCCCAGATTGGAGCACGACTGTAACCCGGCTAAAGAACAATAGGCTCTTAAAGATGGACTCCCAACTAGCTCGGATGGCTTTCCAGACCACGATATACTGGATATGGAGAGAAAGGAACGGAAGAAGTCATCAAAATCCCACCAACACGGCATCGTCTATTGCTCGAACCATTCACAAGGCAATTCATGATCGATTGCTCTCTCTCAGCCATGGCTCAAGAGCAGGAGATAATGAAGCCATATTGAGATGGAATGCAGTCACCAGACGAGATATGTAGATCCTCAAGAATATAACTATGGATGCTCAGCTCGCGTGCTCAAAAGTTACCCGATAACAGCATAGAATTGTTGCAGGTACTAATTGGATGTTGTACCAAATCTTTTGATTCAAACAAACTTATGTAAGTTTTCCTTTTTGCTGATAAATAAATTTAACATTTCAACAAAAAAAAAAAAACAACACAAATTAGGCGCATTTCAGAATGGTCATCCGAAGACACGTTGACCTCCTTATCGGAAAAGGAGACAGGCAACTTTTTAAATGACGTGACGATTTTCGAAAGTGTAAAAGCTCCGGTCAGTCACTAATCGTCACGTCATCACCCCCCAACAGAACGTCACCATCCTGAAGACTCGTAATTATATGTGTTACAACAGCCCGCAACCGAAATAAGGGCCCAATCAATTTAAAAGCCCGACTAAGAAGCACTAAAATATATATATATATACGTCACAGGTCAATTTGCTGCGTTTTGTAGCTATGTTTGGAACTCCGACTAGATTCCTTGTTCCAAATAAGATTCCGATCTTTCTTTCTCGACACAAACCATTGACCAGAGCTTCAGTTAACCTTCGATTTGTAGCGGCGATGTCGTCACCTCCTGCCGCCGTGTCCGTCAGAGGATCGATCACTCACGTCATATTCGACATGGATGGTCTCCTTCTCGGTAACTTGGCTCTCTTCGGTCCTCAACCCACTCACACTAATTTCTCTTGGTCTGATTTTGTCTAGCTTCAAAGCTTCATTGATCCATCAAAGTCCTATTGGTTTTTTATAAGAAAGTAGGAACTCACATTAATTTTGAGCCCATTGTATTGCACTTTATTTTGAATCTCACATTTGTAATTTGGGAGATTGCTTAAAATGTCTCTATTCTAGTGAAATGGTAAAAGATGTGTGTTTGTTGTGCTTATGCTATTTTGATCTACAATATGCAGACACTGAAAAGTTTTACACGGAGGTACAGGAAAAGATACTTGCTAGATACAATAAAACATTTGATTGGTCTCTCAAGGCAAAGATGATGGGAAGAAAAGCAATAGAAGCTGCCACGCTTTTTGTTGAAGAATGTGGAATCAGTGACTCTCTTTCACCTCAAGAATTCATTGTTGAGAGAGAGTCAATGTTGCAAGACCTGTTCCCCACAAGTGACCTAATGCCAGGTACAGACAAATTGTTCTCCCGTTGAGTTTAACCAGTGCAAATGTCATCTTAATCTTATACCTTTTGCCGTCATGATCCGATACTCTTTCTCTAACGCAGGAGCTAGCCGACTTCTCAGACATCTCCATAGGAAAGGGATTCCAATTTGTGTGGCCACGGGGTATCTCTTTTTGCATCTACACATCTACTTTTCATACGAGATCGCTGAGAGTGGAAAAATTGTGTATCTCAGCTTCTTTCTTATGCATTCATCTTTTTTATGCAGCACTCACACACGACATTTTGATCTAAAAACACAAAGACACCGTGAGCTTTTTTCGTTGATGCATCACATAGTGCGGGGAGATGATGCAGAGGTAAAGCAAGGGAAGCCCGCGCCAGACAGCTTTCTTGCTGCAGCTAGGAGATTTGAGGTACATATGGTCATTAAACTATACATAATAGTAAAAACATAGTATGAAAATAAAACAAATCCGGATTAGCTTGTGTTTCCACCTTTAAATATGAGTTCGTAAACTGATTGTCTCTATGGATTTCATAGGATGGTCCTGTAGATCCACGGAAGGCTTTGGTGTTTGAAGATGCGCCTTCTGGAGTCCTGGCAGCTAAAAACGCCGGAATGTAAGTGAATTTCTGGCAAAAGTTTTCCAAGTTCTATCAGAGGATGAACAATTAGTGGTAGAGCTTGAACCCTAGAAAGCTAAACGGTTTTGTGAGCAGGAATGTGATAATGGTACCAGATCCAAGATTGGACAAGTCCTATTGTGATGTAGCGGATCAAGTTCTGGCCTCTCTGCTAGATTTCAAACCAGAGGAATGGGGCTTACCTTCCTTTGAGGATTCACACAGTTAAGACCACAGAGTTTAAGGTAACATTAGTTTGCTTTGATTCTTTTATGATTGAACCCTGTTTTGGAAGATTGTTCATACCCTTAATTGACGATAAAAAGAAGGTTTCTTATTGGGGTATTTTCCCTTTATATCTTAAATATTCTTATTTCCTTACTGTATAAGATGAATTACATATGAAATTAATTCAGGTACTCGCCCTAAAGTCGTGGCGCATGTCACTGACGAAAAATTGGATTATCCACATCTTAATAGAATTGTTCATGAAGCATCATCGCAGCTAGTATGTTATGTGGCCTCGTATTTAAGTCTGGTTAATTTGGCCACATGATAATAAGGACCCGCAAGAAGAATTATTTGAGGCAGTGACCTCGGGAAAATGATAACCAATCAACCCTAAAACATGCTAGAAAATATAGCTTAGGGAAGAACATGAACTTTGATTTCGAAATGGGTACGTAGGTAACTT